CACTGCAACCTCTGCCTCCCAGGTTCAAGTGATTCTTCTGCTTCAGCCTCCCGAGTACCTGGGATTACAGGGGCCTGCCACCACACCAGGCTGATTTTTGTATTTTTAGAAGAGACGGGGTTTCATCATATTGGCCAGGCTGGTCTCAAACTCCTGACCTCGTGGTCTGCCCACCTCGGCCTCCCAAAGTGCTGGGATTACAGGAGTGAGCCACCATGCCCAGCCTTTCAGGATCATTTTCTGCCAGCTTTTTAGATTCATAAAAGCATGCAGTTTCACAGATTAGTTTCACAAAGACAATTTTTAAGTTGTATGTCTATTATTATATGATGATTGTAATGTTTGGAAAAGGGGGAGCCATTGATCATTAAGACACATCCAACTAAGACTTCCCTTTCCATACCAATGACAAAGGATGGCATTTGCCAAAATGGCAAAGGTGAGGCTGACAGTTTCGTGAAGTGCGTGGTAGCCAACAGGATGGCTTGTAAAACGTTTAGTAAATAACTCGCCCCCTAATCCTGAAACATCTACAGCAATCTTCAGGGATCCAAGCAACTCCTCAGTTGTCTTGAGTCTTTCTTATGTCTCCAGAACTCTGCATGTCTGGGCCAGTAGCATCTTTCACTCTTGGCCCCATACAAAACTCTTGCCCTTACACATATACATAATCAAACTATTAATGCAAAAGAGCAAAATGGGAGCCAAGGCCTCAGCCACTAAAATGCTAAGTTTTTAGGTAGTTTGCTCTGCTGATTAGAAAGTAAGAAATATTTGTCCTGTTTCTCTTATCATCAAATGGGGACATCTGGAAAAAAACTTTTACTCAGGTTTGTAGGAAAAAGGAAAGTTAATTTTTTAGAGATTCAACTTCTTTATGCCTTTTCAGATTAAACTTTTTTTTTTTTGAGACGGAGTCTTGGTCTTTTAGAACTGTAGTACATTGGCACAATCTCAGCTCACTGTAACCTCCCCCTCCCAGGTTCAAGCGATTCTCCTGCCTCAGCTTCCCGAATAGCTGGGATTACAGGGGTGTGCCACCACACACAGATAATTTTTGCATTTTTAGTAGAGATAGGATTTCACCATGCTGGCCAGGCTGGTCTCGAACTCCCAACCTCAGGCAATTGGCCCTCCTCAGCCTCGCAAAGTGCTGGGATTACAGGTGTGAGCCACTGCACCCGGCCGATTAAATACCTTTTAAAATTGTTTACATTACTTTCAATTTCTGCAAAATGAGCATGTGTGGAAAAATGTTAATGCATGTTTATAAATCTAAATGTCAAATTACACAGATATTTACTTTTTCTTGTTTTCAGCAGCTGGAAATCTAGGAGCAGAAGCCCAGCATAATGATCTCTGAAAGCCTGGATGCCTGGATTCCTCTCTTACTTCCCAAAACTGTGGGGTAGAAATGTGAGTATCAGCATGCTGCACAGACTTCTACAGATGTCCAGGGAACTGAATTTCCAGAAGTTATAATCTATGTTCTTTCCCAACCCCCGCTTCAGTTTACATATCGCAGGCCTGTTTGTTGAAAAGCAATCAGCTAGAAAATAAGAGTGGCTATAACCTGTGCTGCCCAGTGATCAGGGAAAGAGAGCGGATGAAACTTCGATGACTTTCTGTTAGTCTGATGAATATCCATGCCAAATGTAAGATTAGTTGAAGGCCTTATCGCTTCCCACCAAAATGTTCCTTCACTTGCTGTATAGTACATTGAAATGTAAAGTTATGGGTTTGTTTAACAGTTTAATTTGTCAGCGGGCATTCAACTCTTCTATTTGTGTTTTTACTTTGAGCTTAGTAGGAGCAGACAAATAGAGGTGACCCCTGTTTTCTTCCTGAAGCCATTTTTCAGGACAGAAGTGCCTTAACCACTTCATTGGGAAACCACCTTTGCATGCAGTACCCTGAGTTGGCTTCAGCACGCCAAGCTCCACAACATGGGAAATACCCTGCTTTCCATGTTGCTTTAATCCCAGTGCTCATGAGTAAGGCCATGTCCTGTCTCTTGTCCATGAAAATACTCCCACAAAACGAAGTCACACCCAGGATCTGTTAACGGAGATACCGAGTGGGTGAAGGAGACTCATTCCCTGATGCAATTCAGGTCACACAAAGTAAAAAAGAAATTGAGGATACAGATGCAAAGAAAATGGAAAATGCCTTTCAAAATGCACAAGCCTAGTTTTCTAATTATGTTTCGGTGAACATGCTGGTGAACTTACCTGTGTGGCTTGGTATTGAGGTGGGTTTTTAGCTACTTCTCCACCAAATCCTTTGAAAAGCAGCAGTGGCAGAAACAAATAACCCAATTAAAAACAATAATAGCAACAACAAAAAAAGAAAAGATAAAGAAGAAAGCAGTGGTTTTCTTTGGCTAGCTGAGGAACTTTCTACTAGGCATTAGCAATCGCTTTGCAAACTTTTTTTTTTTTTACAGCAAATGCTTCATTCTCTAGACAAATTTCAAGAATTTTCAAACATCAGCAGACTCAATTCTTCACCCCCATTTTAACAAAGAATCAGCTGAATGCCTGTATTTAACAGTCAAGCCCATTAAACCTGTGATTTGTACGTTGCTCACACTCTTTATTCCTATTAGCAAGAGATGCTAGGAGAACTTCTTGGTCATCAATTTGATGAGTTCCGAGGGGAATGTGGGTTTAGGTTGTGGCGTTCATATACATAGACATCTGGCTGAACACATGTACCTAAGAGTCCTCTAGTTTTCCTTGCTCTACTGAAAATAAAGACAGAGTGTGTAAAATATAATGTATATATTATACAAAGACCTCTTGACAAGGTAATAAATTCTAGTGATTTGGGGCACAAAGGTGGGAAGCAAATCTCATTTTGTTGCTCAGAGATCCATCCTGCACAGGCTGTCTCCCTTCTTAACTTCTGACAATCCAGGGGATCTTCCCAAGTCTCTGCCTGGGGCTGTGTTTGGAAAAACAAGGTCACATGAACCACTGGGTAAAAGTGAGGCAGGGATTTTTCAGCATCATTGAGGATGGATGACTCCTATTCAACATAGTATTGGAAGTCTGGGCCAGAGCAATCAGGCAAGAGAAAGAAAGATAGGGCATCCAAATAAGAAGAGAGCAAGTCAAACAATCCTTGTTTGCAGATGATATGATCCTATATCTCCAAAACCCTATAGTCGAGACCCAAAAGCTCAATAAGCTGATAAACAACTTCCGCTGTCTCATTTGTAAGTGGGAGCTAAATGCTGAGAACACATGGACCCATAGAAGGGAACAATCACACTGGGTCCTATCGGAGGCTGGAGGGTGGGAGGAGGGAGAGGATTATGAAAAATAACTAATGGGTTACAGTAGGTTTAATACCTGAGTGACAAAATAATCTGCACAACGAACTCCCATGACACAAGGTTACCTAGTAACAAACCTGCACATGTACCTCTGAACTTGAAATAAAAGTTATATTTTAAAAATAACAATACAATAGATGACCTGAACATTTCTGTTTTGAATAGCTCAATCATCAGCCCTTTGTGGTCATGAAAATGTCCAAGGTAATTCCTCTATGTCCTTCCAGGTCTATTTATTAAATATGCCAATGGCTTGATAGAGCCCACACTGAGGTCTTACTAGCCCAATATCTGCTCTTTTAGCCATCTCATCTTAATAAATTAAAATACTGTCTCATTTTCTTATTCTAAAAATTTTGATTTGCTTAGTATTGTATTTGCTTAATATCAACAATATAGTACTATTATTTCAACAATAATTTCTGTTTTAAAAGCTATTTGAGATTTGAGTAATTTCTTTTTTCTTTGACAATTATTTTTCCAGTCCCTGTGTTCTTGACAACTGCCTCTTGAGCTTCAGAGCTCATTCATATTTTTCCTGATCCACTCATTTTCATGACTTTATTGAGCATACTTGTTGATTTTCAATCTCAGTACACATCCCATGAAAGTTTCAACTTTGCTAGGATTATGGATGTGAATGCTTTTCTAGTCACTGAAAAGATGGATTTTCTCACTGCTAAGTTGAAACAGAATTTTGCTCATTTCTTATTTTTCTTTTTATTTTTTTAAATGACAGTTTTAATCTGCAGCTGTTTCCTAGGGAATTTTCTTTTTCTACTTATTAATGCTGGTTTTATATTTGAGCCTGGGTGGCAAAATATGTTTTTCAGAAAATACTCGTATGAATACAGGTGTTTTCTTTGAGACTTTTTGTTTTCATACTTTTCCAATGAATGTTCAGCCACCAGATAACAAAATACAGGAATTGCATGTGATTCACAGATATTCCCCCACCTTTGCAAAATTCATGTTCAAAATTGACCCTTTCTCACTGGTTGTTAATATTGTTAAGTAAGATCTCTCATGCATTGCCAACATAAGATGTCAATGAGAAAAGGAAGGAAACAGAAAGTGAGGATAAGTTGATTAGTTTCTATTAATAGGCAGTACAGTATGGAAAAGTAGAGAAAACCTGAAATTCAATATGGATTCCATTAATTAAAATAAAATAGCTAATCTCTTGGCGCTAGAGACTATCTCTTAGCAAACTAAGGCAGGAACAGAAAACCAAATATCACATGTGCTCACTTACAAGTGGGAGCTAAATCATAAGAATTTATGAACACAAAGAAGGAAATAACAGACACTGGGGTCTACTTCAGGGACGATAATAGGAGGAGGGAGAGTAGTAGAAAAGGTAAATATTGGGGCCAGCACGCTGGCTGAGGCCTGTAATCCCACACTTTGGGAGGCTAACGTAGGTGGATCACCCGAGTTCAGAAGTTCAAGACCAGCCTGGCCCACATGGTGAAACCTCATTTCTACTAAAAATACAAAAAAATTAGCTGGGTGTGGCGGCACACACCTGTAATCCAAGTTATTCAGGAGCCTGAGGCAGGAGAAGCTTGAACTCGGGAGGCGGAGGTTGCAAGGAACTGAGATGTGCCACTACAGTCCAACCTGTGCAACAAAATGAGACTCTGTCTGAAGAAAAAATAAAAGAAAAAATAACTATTGGGTACTGGGCTTAATACCTGGATGATGAAATAATATGTACATCAAACCCCATGACCTATGTTTACCTATGTAAAAAACCTTCACAAGTATCCCAAAACCTAAGACAAAAGTTAAACAAAAATAAAACAATAAAATTTTAAAATTTAAAAAATAAGTAAAAAATAAAATTAAAAAAGTCATGGCTAATCTCAATGAATTAAACTTCTGTGTAAACAAAGCATGTCTCAAATAAAACATAATATTTTTACAAATAAAAAATATTTTTACATGTTTTAAAAAGACCTCTAGAAGTCAAAAACAACAGAAAAAAACCACAAGAACAAAAAACAAAAAAAGCAAACAACAGTAAAACCCACAACAAGCAGATGTTGTTATAAATGTCTGTGAAAACAATGAGCAGTGTTTGTTACAAATAAGGCAGCTACATTCTTATTTCCTTCCACGGGAGACTGGGGGTTGTGCTATTTGTGGTACGTTCCTCTTGGTCAACAGGTGCGCCATGTTGGAATCATTCCTGAACCACTCTCTCCTGGTTTCCTTAATGCTCTGTGGGATCACGGAGGTGGTCTTTATAGTCTCAGTGTATTCTTTCAGTATAAGGGCATCAATTTCACACAAGCCTAGTCTCACACCAAGGGCCATAACTGTCCACTGTACCTTACCAGTATCAAAGAATTAAACATCTGTCAAATTCTTTCTCATTGCAAACAGCTGTCTGTCATGAGATGGGTATCAAGGCCTTTGGCTGAATTTATTTCTATGAATTAGCACTGAGCCAGTACCAGGCCGTATATAAAACCGTTCCTAAAACTTCAGCAATGCCTATGTGGGCTGTGTTAAAAGCACACCCTGGCTTGTTACATATTTGCATTTGATTTTCAGGCCTCTGACACCAGAGATCTAATTGATAATACCCTGACAAATTATTCTGTGCTAAATTACCCTCTATTGCTGACCAAACTCACAGCTCCAACTCCCTGAAAAACAGAAAGCGTGTAGTAGAATTCAAACGTAAGAAAGTTTTGTTCGTTTGTTTGTTTGGTTTTGAGACAGGGTCTCACTCTGTCACCCAGGCTGGAGTGCACTGGTGTGATCATAACTCACTGCAATTTCTGCTTCCCAGGCTCAAGCAATTCTCCCGTCTTAACCTCCTGAGTAGCTGGGAATACAGGTTTAGACCACCACAGCTGACTTGGTGATTCAAAAAATTAAAAAATTGTTTTAGTTTTTTATAGAAACGGAGTCTTACTATATTGCCCAGGCTGGTCTCAAACTCCTGGGCTCAAAGGATCCTCCCACCTCAGTCTCCCAAAGTGTTGGGATTACAGGCATGAACCACTGTACCAGGCCCATATGAAAACATTTTAAATCTGCAAGTACCCCAGCCCCATATCTTGGCAGACCCACTTGATGTTATCGCTGTCAAACAGGATGGAGTTGGTGTATGGGCCACCGTCCTCTGGAAGGATGGTGGTGTAGGAAGTGAACTTGACTCTCTTCCTCTTTGGGCCCGAAGAATTCATAGGTTCATTTTTAATTTCTTTCTCATAGACGTAGTCAGAGGGTCTGAGGAGTTGGCTATGAAAAGTCTTCTGGGAACTGCCGTTCAGAAGGAAGTTCCTCTCCTCGAACTGCAGGCCCCTGTCTATCATGGTTGTGCACTCCTCCGACGGGAGTGTAATGTCAACAGGGTTCTCCAAAAGTTCCACTTCATTCCCAAGCCAGACCCAGTCGTGGGAATGGGGGACGTTGCCCTGCTGACTCACAGCAAACCTTTTGTGTCTGTGTTTCCAGGAAAATGCCACGCAGTTGATCAAGAAGACCAGAATGGCCAAGAAGGAGACGCAGAGCAGGGCATACATGCCTATCTCGGACTCCGTTAGCCCCCTTGAGGTCACTAGGATTACTGGGCTCCAGTGACTTCTCTTGAGTGGAGAAGCTTGTGAAGCTGTCTGGACCACCGTTTTTGAGTCATTTATTATTTTCTTCCATGGGAGACTGGGTACTTATGCTTTTGTTGGTACTTTCCTCTTTCAACATGACCAACAGGTGACCCTGTTGAAATCATTCCTGAACCGCTCTCTCCTGGTTTCCTTCACACGCTATGGAATCACTAAAGTGGTCTTTACAGTATCAATTTATGCCCTTGATATCATTGCCGTGTCTTTGGTATTCATTGCTACTCGGTTCAAATTTGACCTCGGCATTTCCTTTACTCATGGCAAGGACACTCTTCCTCTTGGTCTTCAAACAAGGTCACTAATCATCATGTTTAACTTAATCAAAAGCCCTCCGCAACCACAAAGCATCATCTGAACTCAAGACAGACCAACCAC